AGGTCTCTGAAGAGCATGCTGGGACTGATGTTTTCGAAGGGTTTTCAACTTTGGATTTTTGTGTGGACGCCAAAACCAAAATTTCAGCTAACTAGCAAGGAAGACTTCTCTTGTCGATGAGTCAACGGCACTCCCCAGCGCCCTAGACGGCACATAAGAAGCTAGGCTAAGCTACTATACAGCAATCACGCTCTGTCAAGACTTTTCTGAAATTTCAGCACAACCTTCGGGAAGGAGGCTAGAAAGGCAGAGTGTGAATTTCCCAAGGTACCCACAAGTCTGCAGCGCCAAGCTGGCCGGCCTCTTCGAACGCTTCGGAAGGGTCACCATGTCTTCGGATTTAGTCCTAATGTCGGTATTAGGAGAGCTCCGCACCCAGTGGTTTTTGCGATTTTTCCCGGCTGCCATACACCCGCAAATGGCCATCGTTTTGTTGGCCGGAGAGGGGAGATAATGAAGGGCAAAGGGCTCCTCTTAGTGTATGATCGAATGAGGACTTGTGAGGGGTGGTACTGTTTGAGGGGAGCTGTATGGGAGGCATAGGAGGGGATATACTACTGGTAAAGGTATCCTTGCCCTGTAGGCAGAGAGGACCTGCATGTCCTACATAGTCATAGACATAGAAAGGACAATAAAATGAATAAATAATAAGAGACTATGTAGGACTACTTAGGGATCTATCTAATCGGATTCATAATTTATAAGTCAATTTCCAACATGAAATTTATAAGTTTATGCTAGTTGATCCTGAGTGTCAAGCCGTAAGAGTTCGATAGGAATCGTGCTGAGATTAGATTACTTTAGTCTGTTGCAGATAGTGTCGAGGTATGAGTAGCTGAGGTATTTTTGTGTCGAAAGCTCTCCAGATTTCATTCCTGTATTATTCCCGAGATGTTCAAGAATCATGAATCAAGTCTTCTTTAGTCGTTGATATATTATCTTATACCATCAAGAATCCAAGATTTCACACTACCAATTTCAAGCTAAGTAACCGAGTCCTAAGCAGGACGAATCTTAAAACCTGTCAGTGGTGTCCCCTACAAACCTCTAGCTCTCACTATAGAGTTTGCGGAGCCAATATTTAGCAGTACCGTCGTCATTACTAGGATAAGGATCCCCAATCGCTTTCGCGGTCTGTATCGTCTTCATCTCTAAGCCTAGCATCTGACACCATTCGAATGAAGCTAACCACAATCAGATTTGATGGTAGGGTCAAAGTCCTACTCTTCACCCACACTCGATCATGGAGGAAATGCCATCACATGATTTTTGGAAGCATACCCAACTCCCAACACAGCTGTGGCGGATTGGTATAGCTTGACCCATTTTAACATAAGGAAGGAAAATATTTCTTGGTGTGCACACTTCATGGCGTCCAAAATCTAGGCCTTACCTGGCCGGAGTTGTAGGGGTCTTGGTGAATATTTTCTGCATGCGCAGTTTCCATTGCTGCCATTTTTTAATATTTTTTTTGGATAGAAGGTTTCAGAGAAAAGGTGGCCGAATTTCACGTATAAATACTGAGCCGAATGGCTATCAATCACTCGCAATACATCAATGATCTCCTAAGTGACAAAAGAGGCAAGGAGCACTTAACAAGGTCTGGCCTGGGCCAGAGAGGTTCCCAATACTGGTGTACAAGCCATCTGGAATTCACTAAGACAGGACGGTCGAATCATTTCATTTCTACTGTCAAGAACTTTACTTCCACAGTTTTTCATATTTGCTTCGATTCATATCGATATTATTCTGTTCATAAATTGCGCTCATATTCTTTTAGTCGTTTTACCCATCGAACACATATTGATCTCTAAAATACACTCATCAAGAAATAATGACCCCTCAGTTATTGAAGTTGTAGTGCGCACTGATTCAAGTGACTACCGAAGTGAAACTAAGTACAGAATTTGTAATCACGTGTGTATCAACAACGGGGCCTAATTGATAATAATTATTCATCATCCTGATTTGGGGCCTTGAGGCCTATTCAGGTTTTATCGGAAGATATTCACTTTAAGCAGGGCGACTAAATTTGACGTTTAGAACACTCACTCAGATTTCATTGGCAGATACCACTCGAGGCTAGCCCTTACGGCGTAAAACCTCTTCCGTGCATACCCACCACAGGGAAAAATGAGAAAAACCTGTGGCTACCCAAGAGTGCTTTCATTTTTTCACAAGTACAAAGTCATCGCGAGAGAGAGTTGTGTGTGGGTTCAACTGGATTCGAACCAGCTTCTCCTGTCACGATTAGGGTAAGTGTCCAAGCTATCCAATATCTTCTTGGGAGAACGGCCTGGATGGTGTACCACTGCATCATCCAAACCTGGCCCATTAAATTGCTCCAATTATTCTAAATTCTAATAATACTTTACATTGTGTAAGCAGACTTATGCTTGCATGTGTCTAGATCTAGTCCAAAAGCGAAAGTACGATCTGCGTATGGACGTGTCAGTATAGTTATGGTACCCAGGGGTCTTATTTGGGGAAAGAATAGATATTATAGTGCTACGGTGGGCTCGTGGCACGCAGTCATCGGTTATCTGTTCTGATGTTTCCTCTCACCTTTAGGCAATTCAAGTGACCTTCACACGAAGCCCGCTCTTATTTTGGCATCAAATTTTGCTTGTGTATGCAATTATCTAGCTATGACACAATATCAAAGGAAGGTACAGAAAAGATGACTCAATATAAAGTAAGAGCACTCATGCCTCGGATTGGATTTGCAAGTACTACTGCGAAGTTTTGGCGGCTTTTTCTTCACCCCAAGTCAACCCTCATCCGTGAATACCCATCCAGGGGAACGTCTCAAAAACTCCGAGTTATCCAGACATACCTCCGTCATCCATCAAATTTTCTCCACGCGAAATGTAATCTGAGATGTCTCCTTCCCAGGTGGAGTAGGTGCCCAGGCTACTCAAACCATACCGGAGAACACCACCAGGAGGCGGACGACAACACCTTCCATCGTTGGCTTGTGTTTATAGTGTTAGCTGCACTCTCGCAACCGAAGACTTGGCACGCACAAGGCTCAATCTGTAAAAACACCTTGCCAAGATTCGAAATTTCACGCCCGTCAAGAATGTATCCAACCTCTGCATGATCTTATCAACTTGTCCTGATCTCTCTCACGTCCATCTCAAAGAACAGTCTCCCAAATTTGTGCGCTACGCTTTGCTTCCTCCATCGGGTATTAATATCGGCGTGGGCGTGTATTTGGTGACCGGCTGAGGCCAGAGAAGGTCGAAGAGGGGTGTGATCATTGGAATAAGGATGTACTTGGTCGTAATTGTAGTCTTGATGAGACTCGGGTAGGAGTCAAACTCGTCGGGAGGGAAAAATTGGCGTGCTGGAGTATTTTAAATCATTGACTCGTATGCCAATTTTTTCAGTATTGCGATAATTGACTGAACTTGGCTCTGGGATAATATTTCACTCCCAGGCTCGTAGAGGACACCACGCACAGGTGTTCAGTCTTTGCCCTCCGACGAAGCTCTCTCTAAGATTAGCTAATTGTACTTAAACGTAGTCTTTAGCAAACACGAGAAGAGGAAGTGGCAGGAAGGCAGCTCTATTATTGAGATGAAAGAAGTAGATTGGCTGTGAAAAGAGAGAATTAGAGGCGGACAGGGATTATTTGCTAACGTGCACGTACCACATGTATTCACGCAATCGTCCCTAGGGCCAGGTTGAGGTGAGGCCGTACCTTTATCTTTAAGCTTTCTTTCCACAAGGGTATATTATAAAATAATTGTGACCACAAGATTTCCCAAGCATCTTATAAAGTAACTGTAACATAGAGTATAGTCTGCAAATACTATGTTATTAAAGACTAGTAAATGATTGTCTATTGAAACTTGTAAAGATGCTCCGAATTCTAAATTGTTTCGGAAGATAAATGTATAGAAAAGATGATTATATGTGCGTCCGCTTGATATACGGTAGAAAACACTTAAATTTTTCTCCAGACCCTTGTACGTTTTAGATTCACTCTTTCCAGTAATCATAGTCTGACTACTCCCTTCTATGCAGCAGTCAGCAATATTTTTCTGTTGAAGAAGCGTTACATGCTATTTATGTAGATATGCATAAAACCCTCTGTGATATTCCTAGATCAAAACATTTACCCATCTATAATTTGACCTCGTCTATCTATCCTGATTTCTCTCACATCCATCCCAAAGATCTGTCTCGCCAGATTTGTGTACATCGATTTTTGTTCTACGGATGTTTGTACTATCATGAATGTTTATTTTGAGACAAAAGACCTAGTCTTTGAGAAGTATGGTAACTGAGATGAAGATGTACTAGGAGATACTTGTGGACTAGACTTAACTTTGGATAGAATGCATCTAGTTGGGATTGATAGATCTATTAGGTCTAGCCTTGAATCATTGCCACGTGGGCTGATTTCCTCGGTATTGCTAAATTTGACTCGAGTCCAATTTCAGATAATATTTTCCCAATATTTTAGTAGAGGCCGTGAATAGGTGTTTAACTCTGGTCCTTCTACCAGATGCTTTGTCCAAACGTGAAGTAATTTCTCTAAAAAACAAGTTATTTCTATTTGAAATAAGTTTATTTATTTAGAAGGCGCAGATACTTTTAGAACTGATTTTTCGTAAGAAATATCTCAGCTTACCGCTTCGGCATAAAATGTTAATTGATGTCTACTAGCCTGTTGGATATTCAGATTGAAACAACAACTTTAAGCTAGCCCTTAAATATTGCAGCTTAAGTTTAGATTCAGTTTAACTGATTAATATGTAATATAATTTCTAAAGAAACGTTAATAATAGTTAAATGGTTTTCACTAAATCCGAGACGAAATGTTTGACATTAAGTTAGTGTGGATAACTTAATGCAGTAGCAGTTATATCTAGGTTTGTATTTTTCGTTCGATGGAGAGTCTTTAACCTTTCTTGAGATTATATTCAAAAGGATAGTTTTACATGAGGCATATTTTGACCATATATCATATTTTTCAGTGGTTCACCGTTTTACATAATTGAACAGCATCCGTCGAGCTTTTTCAAGACTTTTGGAACAAACTTTCGGGCCAGCTTCTCTAGCTCGTTATTCTGGTCGCCTTGCTGATCATGACCTACATTCCCATCATGAGCGGTTGGAGGTATCGCAGCACCCTCGCCCTTAAGATTAATAAATATTCTTCCAGCGTTTACTTCTTCTGTATATTGAAGACCAAGTTGTCGACAAACTTGTTCGACCTTGGGTTTAATTTTCTGAACGTGATTCGTCGAGTGGTTCCCTTTACCCACAATTCTAAACTCGTTTAGTAGAATTTTCTTATCTATAAAACCAAAGATAAACTATACACGTGTAAGTGGGGTTGACCAATCTTTTGAGCATGACTGATCCTTTCTTTCAGAATAATTTCTACTTCTTTCTCAAATTGACCATGAAGGTCGATGGTATCTTCAGCGACACGTCCTGGCACGTTATTCTCCCGAAATATAAATTCGGAAGCCTGCTTGTTATACTGGTTGGCTTTTTCTGCGTGTGTTTTGGCTTCCTCAGATAATTTGTGTGCGACGGCCCCATCACCTTGTTTGTAAGCTTGCTGAGACTAAGCTTAAATTAGAAATTTGTCGCCTAATCATCCTGCTCTATGCGTAGGTTCTTTGATAATAGATTTGATAGAACCCACTTTGCTAGATAATGTTGCACGCTTCTCTTGCTCTTGCCGCGCTAGATCTCGTAAACGATCGTATTCTCTTTCAATGTCTAGACCAGGAGAAGGTTTATGCTCTTGATAAAAATGTTAGAAGTACTGCTTTCTCGCGGAGCAACAGGACGCGATTTGACAGACCTTGTCCATTCTCTAGATGTTGCATATCATAGATACTAGTTGCAGTCATTTTATGTTCGTTACACTCGCCCTCCCATGTGCTCTTTTGCAGCTTTTGATAACCAAAATTATTGCGGCCAATTTAAGGCTTAATCAAATGTACTTCGCAATATAATACTCGCATAATGTTGGGAGGCAGAAAATCAGGTACAACGGTGCTGTTTCATATACAAGCATTGCCGAAGTTGTATATTAAGAGGTCCAAGCTTGAGTGCAGAAGTGATAGTGACATCTTTCAGCTCCTCGTCAAGTTTTCATGACTAAGTGGCGCAGTGGTATGCCGTCAAAATAGGTCTATCGAGTAGCACCGAGGTTTCGAAGTGTTAGAAGATTCTCGAGATACAGTGACAATATTTCATGTCTAGCCAAAACCTTCCGCACCAGCCGACTAATGTACTTAGGTGTGGGTAGCTTCTTGATAAACTCTCAAAAACTGTCAGCTGTCACTATAATGGTTCTGCACCATTTTGCTTGATTGGAGCTAATTGGACAACCTTAGTCATAATACGCATTTAAAGTCTGATGCAAAAAACCTTAGAGATAGTGTTAGAAATCTAGATTTAGTATGTATGAAGGTTTAGATTTCTTAGTATGATCATCAAGATAAATTGAATTAATTCGATTGCATGTGGTTAAGCTTAGCTGGGCGACATGAGGTTTAGTGGTATCTGAGACGCAATGGTTAGGAAATAATATCTTGCGATAATTGAGTGACAGGTTTTTGCCAGATCACTTGGAGTTTGAGATCACTAAAGCCTCTGGAATCTGTATTCAATCATAGACTTATTTGTATATGTTAAACTGAGTTAACGGAATGTTATATATTATTAATTCATATTGAGAAGAGAGTTTGATATCCTATACAACTATGAATAAATTCTTGTCCGAAATTTTACACTTGTTCGAGATATTTCCTCATAGAAATCCTTGACAATTTCTAATAGATAGACCATCTGGCACATTGAGCTCCTCTCTAGCCCAGGCCACACCTTGTAAATCACTCCTATCCTCTTTTGCTACTTCAAGGATCTTTTTTTGCATTAGATTTTAATTGCGTATGCATATATCTAGCTATGGCACAATATCAAAGAAAATTAAAAAGCAGATTACTCAATATCAAGGAAGAGCACTCATGCCTCGGATTGAATTTGCAAGTACTACTGCGAAGTTTTGGCGGCTTTTTCTTCACCCCAAGTCAACCCTCATCCGTGAATACCCATCCAGGGGAACGTCTCAAAAACCCCGAGTTATCCAGACATACCTCCGTCATCCATCAAATTTTCTCCACGCGAAATGTAATCTGAGATGTCTCCTTCCCAAGTGGAGTAGGTGCCCAGGCTACTCAAACCATACCGGAGAACACCACCAGGAGGCGGACGACAACACCTTCCATCGTTGGCTTGTGTTTATAGTGTTAGCTGCACTCTCGCAACCGAAGTCTTGGCGCGCACAAAGCTCAATTCGTAAAACTCTTTGCCAAAATTCGGAATTTCACGCCCTTCGAGGTTATAACCTTCCTTTGCATCATCTTGTATACTTATCTTGATTTCTCTCACATACATCCCGAAGAACTGTCTCCCAAATTTGTGCGCCACGCTTTGCTTCCTCCTGCGGATATAAATATCGGCGTGGGCGTGTGTTTGGTGACCGGCTGAGGCCAGAGAAGGTCGAAGAGGGGTGTGATCATTGGAATAAGGATGTACTTGGTCGTAATTGTAGTCTTGATGAGACTCGGGTAGGAGTCAAACTCGTCGGGAGGGAAAAATTGGCGTGCTAGAGTAGTTTGAACTATTGCCTCGTGGGCCAACTTGTTCGTTATTGCGGAATTTGACTGAACTTGGCTCTGGGAGAATATTTCACTTCCAGGTTCGTAGAGGACACCACGCACAGGTGTTCAGTCTTGCCCTCCAGCATATTTAAACGCTGAGATGTGTTTAGAGCCAAGTAACATATCCACCTCTTATCAGAATAGCTTCATCGTAAAAAGATGAAGAATTCGAGGAATATCGGTTGTCTTGATACAATTACTAGATGTATCTATATTTAAGCGTGTCTCTCATACTTTTAAAAATGAATTCTCCGCCTAGTTTTATGCGGTAATAGAGTCTCTAATTGGAGTTTAACAAGTTAAAGATAACCGGCGCAATATCTCAAGGTTAAAGCTGAATCAAATTTGACTTGCTACATTGTGAATCGTGAGAGATCCCGATACAGGGGTATCATCATACATCTTGAGTTTTAGAGGTCAGTGCTAACAGGCGCTCATCCTACGTCATCCAGTACAATAAGCTCAATTAGGTGTCGTAGTTATTTTTATAACAAACCCTAAAAATGGTTTAAATAAAGTTTGCTAGAACTACCGGGTAGCGAAGCGGCTGTTAACCGTATGGGGAACCATAGTTAACGTCAGTATTAACTGCAGAACACATGGCCATCCATGTCATAACTCGGTAGGGATAGGGAACTCTTGATGAACTTGATAAGTCCTTGAATTATTTTTTTATATCATTTATTCTGTGCCAGCTATCCAGCTGTGACAGATGATCGGTTCTGTGTATACATGTTTGATCACACTTTTGATGTTAGGTGTTAAGTGGCTAGGAGTGTAGTATACAAATATGGAGTTGGAATATGCTACCTTCGGAGGTCTGGCGTTGTGAAAGCACAGGTGACTTATTTATTACTATTCGCTTAATCTCGCACATTTAATGTATATAATTCATAGATAGAGCTCTGTTCCTTATTTATTGATTCATTTTATTGTCCTTTCGGAGTCTATGACTATATAGGACATGCAGGTCCTTTCTGCCTACAGGCCAAGGATAATTATACCAGTAGTATATCCCCTCCCATGCCTTCCATACAGCTCCCATCAAACAGTGCTACCCCTCACAAGTCCTCATTCGATCAAATTAGAGGAGTCCTTTGCCCTTCATCATCTCACCTCTCCAGCTAACGAAACGATGGCCATCTATGCTCTGTCCTTTAGCTTTGCTGTCTTTTAAATATTGAGTTCTTGCTTGCCATAATTAGCGTGCCACAACAGGGATTCTCGTACCCTAGATTTCGTAAGAAAATTCTACTATGAGTTATGCTAGTTGCACAAATAGTCGATCCTCCTCCACAAATACCCACGAGAGGAACGTTTTAACCCTTTTTCTTATCCAAATTTGCCTTCGTCATCCATTCACACCAGCGCTACGAGAATTGATTGATTGATTGATTGATTGATTTGGACTAGCGATCTCCTGTCTCGAGTGGGATACATGTCTTGGCTACCCAGACTCAGCATGGCAGACCTGCCAAGACGACGTACAATCACACCATCCAACCATAGCGGTGTATGGTATCATAGCTAGATAGCTGCATACGCAATTTAAATCTGATGCAAACAAAAACCATAGCGGTGTTCATAGTCGTGCCTGCACTTCAAGGTACTTTTGACGCTGTACTAAAAATATATTTCTACTTGGGAGGAGTTCACCTACGCAGAAACGCAACTACGAGCAAATATCTCAGCCGTCTAAGATTATGTTGCTAGTTACTGCGCCAATTAGCTATTCTTGCGACTCCTCATGAATCGCTTCACTGAAGCGTAATTCTTAGATAATGGCTTTTAATTCAATCATTCGATAAATAATTGTCGAAGCTCTACATTACAGACTAAGCTTTGCAAGTACGAGAGATATATTGCATTTGACACGGATATTAGTTCGAGAAATTCTGAACAGGATGCATTTGAATTGACTATTTCGTGTGGTTAAGACCACCTGCAGCATCATTTCTTTTCGATAATCAGCTACGATTATTGGCTGTCGGGACTCAACTGAACTGAATTTAAGAGAGCTCACCATGAATATCAGTGCTGCAGCTTCTCGCTTGGGTTGGTGATCGAATATTCATCTCCTAGAAGTTTTTATCTAATTCCTAATTAGTCCATGTTTTCTAAAAGGGGGCACAAAATCGTACGAGCAGTATACGCCTGCATCTGAAGTGAGCTTGTCTACTTGGATTACTTTTTGCTTTTTCGAAAAAATGCATAGAGTTTATCCGCCGATTGGCATCCCGGTGCAAGGGTAATAAGCGAAGAGTTCATGCTCAATTGGGGTAGCGGAAATGGCTCGGCCTCTGCAACTAGGGAAATCAATTGAGTTCCTTTTACCTCAAGCAGCAGCGAGATATGTTTTTCCATATTCATGTGAATTGAAATTCCTAGCAATGGCAGATAACTATTACATAAATTCGGGTTGGATGGTGCAGTGGTACACCATCCGGGCCGTTCTTCCAAGTAGATACTGGGTAGCTTGAACACCTACCCCATTTGAGCCAGGAGAAAGCTGGCTCGCATCCCGTAAAGCCAACACACCACTCTCTCTCGCGGTGATATTTTATTTGTGGCATGATGAGAGCACACTCGTATAACCACAGGGTTTCCACGCTTTTCCCTGTGGTGGGTATGCACGGAGGAGGTTACATACCTTAAGGGTTAACCTCGAGTGATATCTGCAGAAGAAATTTGAGTGTGAGTGTTCTAAACGTCAAACTGAGTCATCCTACTTAGAGTACATGTCTTCCGATAAAACCTGCATGGGCCTCAAGACGCTAAATCAGGTATGTGTGTGTGTTTTATTGTACTACTTGAGTCTATGACTATCTAGCACATTGAGCTCCTCTCTGACCCAGGCCACACCTTGTACAGTGCTCCTATCCTCTTTTGTTACTTGAAAGATCATTGATATATTCCCCTTGATGGATAGCCATTCAGCTCAGTATTTACCCGTGGAATTCAGCCACCTTTTCCACGGAACCTTCTACCCAAAAAAAATAAAAATGGTAGCAATGGAAACTGCGTGCGCGGGAAAAAGTCTCAAAAAACCTGCAGCCCCAGCCAGGCGAGGCCTAGACACCGGGACCACATGAGGTGCGCATATTCATCTGTATCTCCCTTTGTAACAGTTGAGGTCGACTTGATCCAATTCGCCATCTCCGTATCGGGTGCTGGGTACGCTC